ATAATATTACTACACTGGGACTTCACTGTTTTCCTGCCAAAACCCATATCACTAACTATTCCTAGTTTAAAGTCCTAACAGCTCCCTCCATTGCAGTTGCCAGTGCCCCCACCCCAGACTTAGATAAGTGAGCCCCATCCCTGGAATACATGTCATTTCTGCCATAGAAGAGGCCCCAGTTGTCAATGAATGTTGCCGCATTTTCCTTACAGTATTTGTCCAACCAGCAATTGACACCAATTGCCCTGGACAACCATTCATTTCCAATTCCTCTCCTTGGCAAAATACGACATATGACAGGGTTCCCACCCTTCCTAATTATTTCTATTTCTGACCTATACCTGCTAATCAGGTCCTCACTCCTACGTCTGCCAACAACATTGCCTCCAGCACTGAGACAGATAATATGATTTCCCATTCCCTCTCATGATGTCATCCAGACGGCTAACAATATCGTCCATCCCAGCCCCAGGAAAGCAAACCCTCTGTCTCCTACTCCTGTCCTTCAAGCAGAACGCCCTATCTTTGTACCTAACTTGGCTATCCTCAACAACAACAATATTCTTACCTTCCTTGGTGTCGTTCGTCGTGACGTTCCCAGTAGTCGACTCACATTCGTCGGGTAGCATGGAGAATGCATTAGATGTTTCCACAACAGTTTCCACAGCAGTCTCTTTCTTCTTCATCGTTTCTACCTTTCCATTCCTTCTTGATCGTCAACTTCGTTCCCTGCTGTCCAGCCACTAACCAGTTTCCCTTCTTGACCTGAGGACCCAAAACAGGAGGACTGCTGCGAATCTTCTTGTTTTCCTCGGTCAATCGCCGAATCTCCATCTTCGCCACCCTTAATTCTTCCTTAAGCTGTTGGTTCAGTCCGTAGAAAGCACACTCGACACGTCCTCACTGAGCTAAGTACAGGTCACCACTTCATACGTGACTGCAGGAAACGTGGGACACGTATCCTCAACAAGACCAACACCAATCAAGTTGAAGAAAAGCCTCCAAATTACATCGTTTTACCGGCCAGCAACGTTGCCACTAATGTTTCAAAAATGTTTGACAGAAAACTGGCTAAAATATCTACCAGCTCTTCGACTACTATTAGGAACCTGATACAAAAACCCAAGCATGATTCTCGCACAAGTGCAGGAATTTACACTATACCTTGTGGGGGGTGTGACAAGGTATGTATAGGGGAAAGAGCCAGATCTCTGGACATTAGAATCGCAGAACACAAAAGTGCTTGTAGAAATGATGACTGCAAAACGCGTGTTCAACATAGTTACGATGTTCGACACCTCATGAAATTCAATGAAGCTAAACTAGTGATTAAAGAAGACTTAAGACGAAGAAAATGCATTGAAGCTGCACTAATCGCTGTCAGTAACACTATAAAACAAAAATCCGGTAGTTACAGTATCTGAAAATTGCTAATCAACAAGATATTGCCAATTCTGGAAACTGCTGTTACATGATGTCAGCAGGTCCCTCTCCAGCCTTCCGTCTCAACCCCTTAGTTCCACTACTACTACTACCACCTCTACCCACACGTCACTTCACCTGACTCCTGCCACTATATATACGCACTTTCTTAGTTTTCTCTGTATTAGGACTGAAGAAGCCACTCGTGGCGAAACGTTTCCTTTAATAAATGTCCTGAACTGTACATAAGTGTCTTTTTCCACATCTTGTCAGCATCACCATACCTTTTCCTCATGATTTGAATAGACTGATGCAATGGTCGGAGAAGTGGCAGATACAGTTTAATATTGACAAATGCGAAGTTCTAGAAGTTGATAGAAGCAGAAGATACTTGAAGACGATGTAATCAGTCCATCACCCTTGAAGTTTTGAGGTGGTCACTCTCTCAGACACTGCAACACAAGGGTATCTTGGTACAGACCTGAAATCAACTTTGTCAACTTCTACTAGTGAGAATGGCTGGATTTGAGAGGGACCTGACCTTCCAATGACAACATTCTTATCTCTACTTGTGGCCAACATCTCACCTTCTGGCGGTATATAGGCTCCATCCTGTCACTTCAACTCCATATTGTTTAAGACTATGAACAATACTCTTCTCCAGACTGAGGGACTGACCACCTCAAAACTTTAAGGGTGATGGACTGATTACATCGTCTTCAAGTATCTTCTGCTTCTATCAACTTTTCTGTACTCGACTGAAGAAACCTACTGTGTAGGCGAAACGTTTCGAAATAAAAGATACCTAACTGTTGCATATGTGTCTTACCTAACACACTGCTACCACTAGTATTACAGCTCACTCTGAGCCTATATGTACCCTCTGTGTCCATGTATTGTTTGTAACGGCTTGACAAAGCTTCTGGAGAGCGAAACGTTGCTACAATAAAAATTTCACATTAATAACAAAAAAAGGCACAATACCGTGACTGGAACGATACACAAATAACCCGCACATAAAAGAGAGAAGCTTACGACGACGTTTCGGTCCGACTTGGACCATTTACAAAGTCACAAGCGCAACTAATTTCACATTAGTTGCACTTGTGTCCGTTTTCTTTACATATTGTCGGTAATTCTCCCTACATTATTACAGTACACAAGTAGGTCAGCGCGCGGTCAGGGTTATAGTTGTGGGGGTGTGTGTACTCACTAGGTTGTGGTTGCACGGGTCGAGTCACAGATCCTGGCCTGTGTGTGTGTGTGTGTGTGTGTGTGTGTGTGTGTGTGTTGTGTTGTGTGTACTCACCTATTTGTACTCACCTATTTGTGGTTGCAGGGGTAGAGTCTTAGCTCCTGGCCCCGCCTCTTCACCGGTTGCTATTGGGCCCTCTCTCTACCCGCTCCATGAGCTTTATCAAACCTCGTCTTAAAACTGTGTATGGTTCCTGCCTCCACTACGTCATTTTCTAAGCTATTCCACTGCCTTACAACTCTATGACTGAAGAAATACTTCCTAATATCTCTCTGACTCATTTGTGTCTTCAACTTCAATTGTGGCCTCTTGTTTCTGTGTCCCCTCCCTGGAACATCCTGTCTTTGTCCACCTTGTCTATTCCACGCAGTATTTTATATGTCGTTATCATGTCTCCCCTGACCCTCCTGTCCTCCAGTGTGTGTGTTTGTGTGTGTGTGTGTGTGTGTGTGTGTGTGTGTGTGTGTGTGTGTGTGTGTGTGGTGTTTTGTGTTGGGGTGTGTGTGTTTTTGTGGGGTGTGGGGGCGGGGGCGGGCCCCGTGAGCGTTAGTGACACACACACAAACTCCACAACTATAACCCTGACCGCGGGCTACCCATGTGTGTACTCACTTATTTGTGCTCACCTATTTGTGGTTGCTGGGGTCAAGACAGCTCCTGGCTCCGCCTCTTCGCTTGCCGCTACTAGGTCCGCTCTCACCCTGCTCCGTGAGCTGCATCCTACTTCTTCTTAAAGGTATGTATGGTTCTTGCCTCCACTACTTCACTCTCAAGGTTTTTCCGCTTCCTGACGACTGTGACCGGAGAAATACTTTCTAGCATCCCTATGACTCATCCGAATTTTCAATTTCTAGTAGTAACCCTTTGTTGTTGCTGTGTTTGTGTGTGTATCTATGAAAGTATTAATTCCTGTTTTTAATACCAGTTAGCTAATAAATATTTGCTAACATATAGGTTCGACACGAGGCTGCAGTCCGCGGATACCCACATGTGAGTTTATTATTCTCAAGACGGACAGCAACTATCCTCAGGCTGGACGCTTCTCAAGAATATCACTTCATTTGAGATCATTTATTCCGAAGATGCGTCGAGTCTAGAACATGTTCCTACAGCATCACATGAACGAAATCAAATCAAATGACCAAGTTAAATCGCTAGCACACAGATGGCTCCAACATCATCCAGTTCTCAATTTGTATGTCTCATAACATTAAAAAGGTTTTAAACAAGCTGCTAAAGGTAACAGCTCTTAGCTTCTAAATAACGTTAAGGAAATTTATCCTAACATCGTAGAACCCGGTTTAAAAAGAAAAGTGTTTTGGGAGCCGGTGACTTATTTTGCATTAATCATTGTACTTGTTTAATAACTATATCTCTACTGACTGTAACACCACATGTTTGTTTTACTTGGATTCTGTATCTTTCAACACACCGGCTGTATCCCACCGAGGCAGGGTGGCCCAAAAAGAAAAACAAAAGTTTCTCTTTTTAAATTTAGTAATTTATACGGGAGAAGGGGTTACTAGCCCCTTGCTCCCGGCATTTTAGTCGCCTCTTACAACACTCATGGCTTATGGAGGAAGAATTCTGTTCCACTTCCCCATGGAGATAAGAGGAAATAAACAAGAACTAGAAAGAAAATCCAGAGGGGTGTGTATATATATGCTTGTATATATATATATATATATATATATATATATATATATATATATAATATATATATATATATATATAAAAACACTGCACTAGCCAAGGACTCGAACCCATGCTGCTTTGGCCTGCCTCATGGTGGGCGAAAACACATGATGCCCTTATCCACTGGACCATACGATCCTTAAGAGTAGCGCATCCATCGGAACTGGATATTGTACTCGCTACCCAAGGACACACGATGGTGTGGATGATTTTAGGCTAATTTCATTCTAGTCCCTGTTTGGTGTACTAGTTCAACGAGCAGTATTTTATATTATTGTGACCACGAACGAGTGGTATTGATCATTAACAATACTGCACTAGCCAAGGACCTGAGCCCATGGGTTCGAGTCCTTGGCTACTCTTAAGGATCATATGGTCCAGTGGATAAGGGTGTCATGTGTTTTCGCCCATCATGAGGCAGGCCAAAGCAGCATGGGTTCGAGATCTTGGCTAGTGCAGTGTTGTTATTGATCAATACCACTCATTCGTGGTCACAATAATATATATATATATATATATATATATATATATATTATATATATATATATATATAATATATATATATATATATATATAAGGTATACATAAATTCATTAAGTGCATTTCCACTGGGATCCAAAGAAAAACGTTCCCGTGCCGGGAATCGAACCTGGACCTCGTGAGTGAAAGCCACATATCCTAGCCACTAGACCACACGGGA